AGTGAGGATATGCTGGATAGTCACGCACACGCATACATACACGCGCAAATGCCATGCATACACAGGCAAGTGCATACACGAACGCACACACGCGTCGATACGTAAGCAAACAAATGCACACTCACACATACAGACACGAACACGCTACCAGGCACACGCAGACACGCACATACACGCACGTACAGTCACGCACAGTTTTCTGCTATGTACGTGTGTGTGCAAGGACGACGGACGCAATTCTGTGCCTATTTTGGGTCAAAGTGAAATTGTTTTTTTTTTTGGTGACTGAATATGGCGGATGAAAATAAGTTGTTGGTGAAAGTAAAATAATAAAAGGAAAGAAGGAATGTAATGGGTTTTTATAAATGTATTTGTGTGTGAGTGTATAAATATGTATTACATAAGTAATTATATATATATATATTATATATATATATATATATATATATATACCTATATATGTATATATGATATATATCATAATCTATATCTATTTATCTATCTGTCTATATATGATGTAATATGTATATATGTATATATATATTATACCTATATCTATATCAATCTATATGTATATATATATATGTATGTGTATAAGCAAGCATATGTATAAACGACGTGCATGCATGTACTTACGTCAGCAAACTTCTACGCCCCTTCCGCTGACCTCCCCCTGACTCTCCCCTGACTTCCCCCTGACCTCCCCCTGACCTCCCCTCCAATCCGCAGGGACGAGGTGGAGACGCTGGCCCGCGAGCTGCGCATGCGCCTTTACCGCACGTCCGTCAAGGAGGACCTCAACGTGGACCAGGTGTTCAACTTCCTGGTGGAGCGCTACCTGGCTCTCATCGCCCAGCCCGAGGACATCTACGCCGCCAAGACCGTCGGGGAGAGTAAGTGCGGGGTGGGGGTGGGGTGAAGGGTGGGTGGGGACAGGGTTGGGGGAGAGGAGTGGGTAGGGGGAAGAGAAGGGTGGGATGGGGAGGTTGTGGGTGGGGAAGGGTGAGGGGTTGGGGTGGGGAGGGATTGTGGGTGTGGACAGGGACGGGGAGGGGTTGGAGGATTGGAAGAAGAAGAAGGAGTGACGGATACTGGGAGAAGGAAAGTGGGAAGGAAAGAGAGTTGGTGAAAGAAGAGGAAGAAAAAATAAGAGGGAAAAGTGAGTGGGTTTAGAGTGTTTGGGGAAGGTGGGAAGTGAGCAAGGGGAATAGAAGGAGAGGAGGAGGAGAGGGCGAGAGAAGGAGAGAGAGAGAGAGAGAGAGAGAGAGGAAGAGAAGAAGAGAGAGAGAAAGAAAGAAGAAAGAAAGAAAGAAAGAAAGAAAGAAAAAAGAAAGAAAGAAAGAAGAGAAGAAAGAAAGAATAGGTAGGTAGGTAGGTAGGTAGGTAGGTAGGTAGGTAGATAGATAGATAGATAGATAGATAGATAGATAGATAGATAGATAGATAGATTAGATAGATAGATAGATAGATAGATAGATAGATAGATAGATAGATAGATAGATAGATTGAGAGAGAGAGACAGACAGACAGACAGACAGAGAGAGATAGAATCAGAGAAAGAGAAACAGAGAAAGAAAGAAAGAGACGTTTTACGAGAAGCGTCGGAGGTCAGGAAGCGACGATTAGGTAATTGATCCCAATCAGGAGAGCCTCAGAAGGCGTTCGAGGGCGAATCGGGGTGACAAGGCGCCAGGGCCCCGAGGCGGTCGGATTAGCTAATCCACGGGGCCGTCGGAACTCTCTCTCTCTCTCTCTCTGTTTTTCTTTCTCGTTCTCTCTCTCTCGTTCTCTTTCTGTTTCTCTTTCTCTTTCTCTGTCTCTTTCTTTTTCTCTTTCTCTTCTCTCTCTGTTTCTCTTTTTCTTTTCTTTCTCTCTCTCTTTCTCTCTTTCTCTCTCTCTTCTCTCTCTCTCTCTCTCTCTCTCTCTCTCTCTCTCTCTTCTCTCTCTCTCTCTCTCTCTCTCTCTCTCTCTCTCTCTCTCTCTCTCTCCCTCCCTCCCTTCCCTCCTCCCCTCCCTCTCTCCCTCCCTCTCTCCCTCCCTCCCTCCTCCCTCCCTCCCTCCCTCCCTCCCTCCCTCCCTCCCTCCCTCTCTCTTTAAAAAAATCTTTATATGATACATTCAACAGAAGCATCAAATTAATAACAAGTCCTGCATGTCGAAAAATGTCAATGTCAGTTTTCTTGTCACTCCCGAGATGATTATCGTGACAGTTCGTGGATGGACGCCACCACGCTGACAAAATCATTATCTTCATAATTTATCCGTTTATAAGATATACTTCAGGGCGTGTAACGTAAAGGAGTAGTGTAGACATTGCAATTACGGATAATTTTGGAGCGTATTATGTGAAGAGAGAGGGAGATTGGGAAGAGGGAGAGGGAGAAGGAGAGGGAGATCAGGAAAAAGAGGAATAGGAAGTGGGAGAGGGAATAAGAGAGGGGGAGGAAGAGGGAGAAGAGAAATAGGAAGACGGAGAGGGAGAGAGAGAGAGGAAGAGGGAGAAGAGGAATAGGAAAACGGAGGGAGAGTAGGAGTAAGAGAGGGAGAGGAAGAGGGAGAAGAGGAATAGGAAGACGGAGAGAGAGAGAGAGAGAGGGAGTAAGAGAGGGAGAGGTAGAGGGGAGAGAAGAGGAATAGGAAGACGGAGAGAGAGAGGGAGAGGGAGAGAAAGAGGGAAAAAGAGAAGAGAAAGAGAAGGGGAAAGGAAGGGTGAGGAAGAGCGAAGGGAAGGGAGAGGGAAAAGGGAAAAATCGAAAAGAAATTTAGAGACACAGACACAAATAAAGAAAGAGATAATGGAAGAAGAACAAAGAAATGAAAAGAAAAAGAAAATATGACTTTGACAGCAAGTGACAAAGGGAGAAGGGAACTATATAGGGAGTTTTAACAAGAACCGTTAAGAGAGAGACTGGCGAGAGTGAAAAGGGGGTTAGAGAAGGAGAGGGAGGGAGTGATGGGAGGAGAAAGAGAGAGAGAGGGAAGGAAGGAGGGAGGGAGAGATAGAAGGAGAGGGAGGGAGTGATGGAAGGAGAAAGAGAGAGAGAGGGAAGGAAGGAGGAGGAGAGAGAGAAGGAGAGGGAGGGAGTGATGGAAGGAGAAAGAGAGAGAGAGAGGGAAGGAAGGAGGAGAGAGAGAGATAAGGAGAGGGAGGGAGTGATGGAAGGAGAAAGAGAGAGAGAGGGAAGGAAGGAGGGAGGAGAGAGAGAAGAAGAGGGAAGGAGTGATGGAAGGAGAAAGAGAGAGAGAGAGAGGGAAGGAAGGAGGGAGAGAGAGAGAAAGGAGAGGGAGGGAGTGAGTGAGAGAGAGAGAGGGAAGGAAGGAGGGAGGAGAGAGAGGAGGAGAGGGAGGGAGTGATGGAAGGAGAAAGAGAGAGAGAGGGAAGGAAGGAGGGAGAGAGAGAGGAGAGGGGAGGGAGTGATGGAAGGAGAAAGAGAGAGAGGGAAGGAAGGAGGGAGGGAGAGAGAGAAGGAGAGGGAGGGAGTGATGGAAGGAGAAGAGAGAGAGAGGAGGGGAAGGAGAGAGAGGAAGAGAGAAGGGAGGGAGTGATGGAAGGAGAAAGAGAGAGAGAGGGAAGGAAGGAGGGAGGGAGAGAGAAGGAGAGGGAATAAATAAATAAGATAAGCGACTAGTAAAGGGATGAATGGTGTAGCCCGCACAAGGAAGAAAAGTCATTTCTTCGAGTTAAAGTTACTACGTGTTCATGTTCTGTTTGCCTTTGCACACATTTATAAAGGAACGAAACAATATCTGTCTAAATTAGTAAAGGAGAATAGACTTTAGACGAACCAATCATGCCATTTCTCTTTTTGTTATGTTTATCTTTCTAATCTTATATTTACGTAAAACAAACATAGAAAACGGGATCTCCAAATTTATATTTACGTAAGACAAACATAGAAAACGGGATCTCTAAATTTATATTTACGTAAGACAAACATAGAAAACGGGATCTCTAAATTTATATTTACGTAAGACACATAGAAAACGGATCTCTAAATTTATATTTACGTAAGACAAACATAGAAAACGGGATCTCTAAATTTATATTTACGTAAGACAAACATAGAAAACGGGATCTCTAAATTTATATTTACGTAAGGGACATTTTGAAACCGGCATCTCATCTCTTTTATTCCTCGCAGATATCTTCGGCAACCCTGCGAAGTTGAAGAAGGGAGACACCATCACACTCAGCGGCAAGAAGAAGTCCAGCAAGAAACAGCTGATAAAGAACGCCTGTAAAGTTCTATAAAGAGCGTCTTGTTAGTTCTTGCCCGTATGTGAACGTACAACGTGAAGATTCCTGCGCCCATATTCTTGTACATGGCTTCTTGAGTGATCCCAGGGAAATACAGATGTTTTTTTTGGATACGAGGTGTTGGTTGCTGTGGAGACGGAGAAATGGGGGGGTGGGGACTTCATGCCAATAACTCTTGAACAACAAGAGATCTGTTCTTAAGCCTGGACTTGGTGACTGATGGTGAAGAGGTCTGTTCTTAAGCCTGGAGACTGATTTGGAAAGTGTTCTCTCACAGGCTAGAAACACTGTATTTTCAGTAACCGGACTGGGGTTAAGGAGAAACCATTGTGGACATATGATTATACATATATATGGCAAATCAACTATAATTGATAGATAGAACTCGTCATGGTTATCCATCAAAGAAACCGTAACGTAGTGTGAAAGCATGGTACCCTATACACTGCAATATTTTTTTAGCAAAGTCTCAGAAATAGCACAGAATCCATACAACGGAAGGAATATAACCACACTCTGAAACACAGACACACCCGGGGCGCCACAACCAGTGCCTCAGATCACGAGGAAGTCCCAGTGGAAGGCGTTTGGCCACGGATGGATATTTAATAAACACACTATGCGTTATTAATCACAGGTATAAGCATAAGGCAGAGATTGCCGAACGGAGATGAATATGTATCCGATCGTCTTCACACACTAATATTATCATCTATGTATCCATATATGAAATATGTGAACCCACACACTAATAGTCTGAGTCTGTCTCCTCACACATCATAAATGTATATGAATTAGACTTTATGTTCTGTCCATTGTAAAGGAAAAGTGTTAGACTGTTGAAGTTGATGTGATAACACCTTTGAAATGAATATGTTATGGAGATTAACGTGATAAACCATAATATTCATGTACTTTCACATGTTTTATTGATGATCACATGACAAATCTGTGATAGGATGCCGTCCATAAACTACCACAAATGTTTGACAAAATTGCGCTGATTTCGTGTATTTCATTTCGTTAATTTCTTTTTGCAAAATTCCAATCATGGCATTTAAGAGTAAAGTGCGATAAACGACTTAGCTTGGAAGAAACACATAAGCGATAGCAGAGTAGAGTATTAGTCACAGTTCAAGTAAAGAAAATGAAGTCGTGATTCAGCAACACCATTTTTTAAGAGGAATACCCTTGTCAGTTCCTTTCTAAATACACTATTTAGACAGCAACAGGAGGACTCACAATAGTAATCCCTTTGTTAATAAGGTCCACACAGACGATTCTTGTACTCATCACACAATATATATATACATAGATCAAGGAAAGCACAGCAGTGTATTAGAAAGAAAAAGTCCCCCTTGTGATGATCGTGTAATCAAGGAATGATACTAATGAGTTTAGTTATTAACGGAGGGAATCATAGTTTTTTCTCATTGATATGATGTAGGAAGGATCATTCATATATCTGTAAGGTATGGTGAGAATCAGTAAGTCCACAGCACTAGAGAGGTACATGCTTTTCAGTGAAGTCATTAGAATTACATACAATTCTGACGAAGACTGTTCATTCTCATCGATCCCTTTATACAGAAACTTGTGATACGTCATATATTAGTTACATAAAATAATGTGCACAGACTTGTGTACTGCAGAAATTCATATCCATCACCATAAGTATAATGTAATGTCACTTTATACCTAGCGGTAGAAAATCAATATTAGGAAAGATATTCGCCCCAGAAAATAATTGACTTACCCATACAGTCAATTTGCATAATTTTATTCTAAATACATGCAAAATATTATGACCATTCTGTACGAAGGCTTAAGTTTTCCTGTCACTTTGATCAGTCAACCTATTGCATGAGGTGTATCATGGAAGAGCGTATGTGTTGTGTAATTAAGAGAAAATATATCAGTCAGAATGCAAAGGCCAGTTATTTGTAAACTTCAGAAAGATTGTGTCCTGACTGATCCATCGTTCTTTCTGGTGGTGCTCACACATCCCCATCGAGGGGCCTGATAGGTACCATGTGCCAACCACATCATCCAGGTAAAAACATGTAGAAGGAATGCAGGAAATATTGTATATTCTTCATCCAAAAATTTATGTTCAGTTCAGTAATCCGGTCACATTCTAATCCATTTGCTTTCCTTTGAAAATAAATAATCAAATATTTACTGCAGCCTAGCAACGAGAACAACGAGAAGATACAGTAGGTTAGTGCCATAATTATTTTCATACAGTCTGCTGCTAACTGGAGGCACCTGGAGGCCAAAGTGCCCAATGAAAGTGGCAGTTGATGAGGTCCCCCTTGTAGAGGTGTGGCCTGTTACTTGATGTGATTTTTTCATTTGTATAACCTGATTCTTATATTCACACAATATATTCAAGTCATTGTTTTGGAATGAATAGCTGTATTATGTATATACTTTCCTCTTATGATTAGGAAGTGGCTATAAATTCAAGGAGCATTCCAGCGTTTAAGTCTAAGTTATATGACTTATTTGGAAGTTATAATATTTAGCACAGTTATGCACGACATTGTCTTGTCCTTCGTTGACAAAAGCAAAATTAATTGTACCCCGTAATTCTTTACTTCCTGATCAATCTCAAACCAAAATATTTTACAGCTAACTTTCCTATGTGTTGCGTAATTATTATAGAAGTGTTTTAGGAAATTCATGAGAATTTTCTATAATATAATGATAATGTTCCCCATGTATGCTTAATACAAGGACAAGCTTTTCACTTCACTCTCTTGTAGGGGAATATATGATTTTATGTACATATTGTAACTTGTGTATATTTTTTCTCATTTGAATAATGTTTAGCATATTATTTCGTTTATTGTATTGTAATGTATGTGTTGCATAAATATACTAATTGATAATGG